GCCGGGGGCGGAGCATCATCTGTTGCTGACCAGGTACAGCCCGTCCCCACACACCGGTCCTCGCTCTCCGAACGCCCCACTCATGAATGCCCGGGCTGCCTGCTCCTCCCGTGGCCCTGCCTGGGAAGCCCCTCTGAAGTGGACAGACGTTAGCTGGCGGGGAGGCTCAGCGTCAGCAGCCAATAGGGATTGGGGTCCTGGGCCTCCAGGGACGGGCAGTAGAAAGCAACCTCTCCCAATCTGGGGCTCTCCTGGGGACACCAGTGGACACGGAGGCCTGCCCTGACCTCTGCCCCCCTTCCCCCAGCCCCACTGGGAAGGGGCTGGAGCAAGAGTGGGGAAGGGAGCCCGTCCTACTGGCCAGCTGGGGCTTGGGGAATGGCCAGCCTAGCATGTGGTTCTCATTGTGGGTGCGCTGGCTCCTCCTATGGTTCTCCCTCCCCACCCCCTGGGCTGCAGATGCCCCCAGGGCACGTAGTCCAACCAGGCCCCACAGGAGCTGCCACAGCTCTGCCAGGGCAGGGAGCCAACAGCCAGGGTCACCAGGCCACTGGGTCACCCAGCCACTCCGCCCCCCGACTGCTGGGCACTCTGTCCATTCACTCTTGCCACCAGAGTGACACAGTGGTGACCACACGTTCTCACCCTCCCACAGGGCTCTGTCCTGGCGGCAGAGACCAGCTGAGAGCCGGGAGGGTGTGAGCCACTGTGGAGAGAAGGGCGGGCGACAGGCCGTGGGGGCGGGCCCACAGCAGGGCACTGGAGGTGTGCCTGCTCAGTGGACAGCGGGCTCAGTGGGACACAGCAGTGCCCAGCAGGCACTCATGCACCTCCACGTAGGAGACTCCCCGGGCTCAGCACTGGACCCGCCTCTGGGAGAGAGGGGGAGCAGGCCTTGTCCTGCGGGGCCTCAGCCGAGGATCAGAAGAGCTGGGAGCCCCTGAGGGGCTGTGCTTTAAGCACCCCACTAGGAGCACAGAGGTCAAACCCAACCGTGGGTATGGGGGCGAGCAGGGTTTGCAGGCACCGGTGGGGGGAGGGATAGGCAGGTGAGGGCGCAGCCTGGTCCGACTGGCCCCGCCAGGCCAGCTGAGCACCCCCACGCCACCCTGCACCCTGTCTGCGACCCTGGGAGCCGAGAGCCGCTGCTCCCACCCAGCACGGTCCTTGCCGGCCTGGCTGCGCCCGGGGCCGGTTCCCCTGCCGTTCCCAGGGCCTTCCATCTGCTGAGACAGCACTTCCACTGGGAAGCTGGCCTCAGCCCTGAGCGGGGGCTGCAGGGGAGTGTGCCAGGGCAGACAGCCATAGCCAGGAGAGGCCATGACCCCCCTGCTCAGGGGTGAGGGGGCGCGGAGGCTGGAAGTCCCCTGATTCCCACCAACAAGATGGAGGCGGCCTGTCCCTGGCCTCAGCTCAGCCTGCCCAGGCTTTTCCCCAAGTGCTGGGCTGGCCCCTCCCAGGACTTCCTCCCGCCCTGCCCTCCCAGCCCCCCTCCTCCTTGTGCCTGGGCAGGAGGGGGCAGGGCGCGTTCTGCTCTGGCTCCGCTGAGCTGCAGCCCCCAGGGGACAGGTCCAGCTCACACCAGATGGACAGGTCAGGGGGCAGGCGAGGGGGGTGCTGGGAAGGCCACTTCCTGGAGCAGGGCCTCCCTGGAGAGCCAGGGAGGGGCCTTCCCTGCCCTGTGGGGACGGAGCTGTGTGTCAGGGTCTGGGGGCTACTCTGGACAACCAGGAAGGTCAGAGCAGGTGAGGGCCTGGCTGTGAGAGGGCGTCCCCGTGCCCTGGGTGATAGGGAATTAGCTGAGAACAGTGCCCTTCAAGGACAGAGAAGAGCCCCCGGCCCTATCCCTGGCCTCCACGTAGCGGCATGAGCCCCACCGGGCCCTGAGCACCCCGGCCCGGCCCCGGCTGATTGGGATGGTTTCCCTCCACGGTGTTTAGCTTCTGGGCCAATGAGACCTTCAGACGCTAGCTGTCTGGACCAGAATCCCTGGCCTTTATCAGCAAGGAGGGAGCCTGCCCCCCGATCAGGCCTTGCTTAGCCTCCACCCCGCAGACTCTGGGCCAGAAGGGTCCCCAACTGAGCCTGTGCCCTGGACCTGGGTAGAAGGTCCAGGATGCGTGGGACGAGGACTTGGAGCAAGCCCCTGGGAGAGGGGACCTTGTGTGTGGACAGTGCTCAGCCCCTGCCGACCCGGCTGGCCATCCGGGGTGGAGGGAGGGTGAGTGTGTGAGCAAACCATGCAGTGACTGCACGTGAAGCTGCACTGACAGCTCACGTCACAGGTGACGTGTTTAACGCGGACGGGGCCTTAAAATGTACGGAAGCCCGCCGTCATCTCCCACACGGGAACCAGAACAGGTGGCTCGGGGCCACGGGGGCCTGGCAGTGCGGGCACCCTGGCCCCGGAGACACCCTGGCCCCATAGGGGCCGCTCCACCCCCGCTTGGATCTGAGTCACGGCTCATGGCTCGGGGCCTGGGTGCTGTGGGAGCAGCACTCTCCCAGCTGCTGGTGTGAATCCCAGCCGCTCCCCGTGGGGACCGCCCCGATTGGCCCAGGCTGAGCCACCTTTGTGGAAGCAGGATGGGTCGGCAGGAGGAGGAGCGGGCAGGTGAGGCCCTGGCAGCCTCCTGCACACTCGGTGCCGGCATCCCAGGACCCCTGTGAGGGAGCGACTCCGGCTGTGGCCCAGGAGCTAGTGCGGCTGGGGCACCGAGGGCCTCGGGTCCCTTTCCAGGAAAGCACCGAGCTTTGGGTTGGCTCCCGGGCCCTGGGCGGGTGCCTGCCAAAGGCAACCAGTTGCTGTGACTCTTAGTCTCCCACCCCCCTTCTCCCCTCCCTTCTACTCCCTGAAAAACCAACGGAAAAAATATGCTTGGATGAGGATTAACAACAACAAAAGAGCAGAGCCTGTGCCTGGGGGAGAGCGGAGATTTATGCCCGGTGCTCACACAGGAGCTGCTGGGGTGCCTCCTGCTGCTGGTCTGCACCCCGCAGGGCGCCGCTGTCGGCAGAGGACGCGGGGCGTTCAGGTGGGAGATCGCTGCTCTGGCCTCGGTGCCCCGGCTCTGAGTGCTGGGGACACGGCTGGGCTGATGCCTTCCCGTCAGGGCCCCTAGGCCAGGTGACCGGGCTCGGTGCCCGTGGCCATTGGCCTGACTGCCGGGTGCCGGGGGAGGCTGCGGGGCAGCCAGGCAGCAGTGCTGGGCATGGGGCCCCAGGTCGCCCTCCGGGGCCGGGCGCTGGCCCAGCACACCAGATGGCTCTCTTCACGCGGGCCTGGCCGCCGGAGTGGAAACCCTGAAGAGCTACCGCTGGCCCCGTCTCAGCCCTCCTGGTGTTGTTTTTGCTGGAAGACCATTCTACCAGCCCCGTGGGCCTGGCGGGGAGCAGCAGGCGCCAGGTGGATTCGGACCTGCTGCCTCTGTCCTCCGAGCCTCTTCTTGGTCTGACGGCAGGGAGGCAGGGTCCAGGCTGGGTTGTGGGGGGACAGCTGCCTTGCTGCCCTGCCCCGTGCTCAGGACTGTCCCCAACTTCCTGTACTCAGTGTCCCCACGGCCTTGAACTCGGAGCAGCACCCACATTGAGGGGAGGGAGCTGAGGGCAATGGCTGCTGAGTTCCTTGGATGACCAGAGGCAGCCTGATGGAGGAGGGGGGCCGGCCTGGGACGAGGCCTGCGGTCTGCCGGCACCTCTGCACCAGGCCCGGGGATCCGCCTCTTCACGCCAGCACCAGGGTCCACGCTGTTCTCGGGACGCAGTGCCCGAGCAGGGTGGCCAGGCCCTCTGCAGGGAGCGCCGTCACTGCGAAGGGTGGTCCTCCCCGACTGGCGCCCCACAGCTGGAGCAGGGGTGATGGCTGGGAGGGAACCGCCAGCGAAGGACGGCGCGGCCGTCCGGTGGATGAGGCAGCACAGCCACGAACCCAGGCCACACCGGCACATGGGGCAGAGGTCAGGGGGCTCGGGGCATCCTGAGGCCATGGGGTACAGGCTGGGCTCAGAGGGTCAGGGTGCTGCCACATGCACAGGCTCTGCTCGGACTGTCAGCAGGAGAGACATGGACTCGCCTTGAGCTGCCCCAGAACCAGCTGCCGTGAGAGCAGGTGAACCCACCGGCCAGGCTGGAGCTCCGCCCCCTCTGCCCGCTGGCAGCCCCGCCGTGAGGCTGTGCCCAGGTAGGAGGCTCCCTCGCACAAGGTGGGACACAGCCCTGCAGGTCTCAGGGCTGCCCGCCCCCGCCCCCACCCCGGCCAAGAGCCAGCACCGAACCCAGTGCCCTAGGAGAGCCACTGACGTAGAAGCTGGCGTGCCGGCTCTTTCTGGGACTTTTATTTCTTTAAAATAATTCATACAAATGGTTACAGTCACGAACATGATTTTAACCAAAATACTGCTAGCCTACCACATCAGCAGGACGGCACCGCCAAGGCCAGGCGCCGCGCCTCGCACTCGGGGCAGCACCGAGGCCGGCACTGCTGCTCCCGCCTCCGCCAGTCCGCGGTGCTGCCTTCATTTGGAACGGGGGTTCATGCCAAAATTAGGAAAAACAGCCTTGGTTTGTCTCTCTAAATTATTCTAAAGTAAGACAAGCGGGTAGAAAAACAATGCACTGAGGCGTAGAAAGAAAAACGGGGAGGGTCCGGAGTCCTGAGAGTTTGCCAGCTGCCGTGCGGCACGTTCCGCGGAGAGGGAGCGACAGAAGGGCAGCGACGCCCTCGGCCGGCGGTGACAGCTAAGCAAACAAATCCTTGGTGATGTTCTAAAGGCTGCACACAGACAGGACATTCATGATAGAATTAACTACTAACTTCTTTTGCTTAACGAGGACGCAAAACACGGGCAGCACGGGCCAGGACGGGACTGGTCAACGGGGAGGCCGGCGCCACCCCCGCTGTGGGCGCCCGGACAGTCTCTGGAGTGCCGCTGCCATCCGCCGGCGCCTCCCCCGCCGGCGCCCGTCCGAGGCCCGGCACCGAGGCTGCAGAGCTCCGCCCGCTACAACTGGTCACTCGGGTGGTCTCTATCCGCCTCGGGCTTGACGGTTTGGCCGGGGGAAGGGGCGTGGGGCGGGTGGGACACGGGGGGCAGGCCGTGGGACAGGGACATGGCGCTGGGGACAATGCCTTCCACGGCAGCCGGGATGCCACTGGGAGCCACGCCCACCACGCCCGGGGGGTACCTGCTAGGAAAGGAGGGAGGCCACCGTGAGCCCAGTGGCAGGGCAGGCGCTGCGCCCACACTGTCTGCTGGGAGGACCCCGCCCTGGCCCCCTGTATCCCGTACCCCGACCCCCCTCTGCCTCCCCGTACCCCGACCGCCCTCCGCCTCCCCGTACGTAAACCAACCCCCCTCCGCCTCCCCGTTCCCCGACCCCCCTCCACCTCCCCGTTCCCCAACCCCCCTCCACCTCCCCGTTCCCCGACCCCCCTCCACCTCCCCGTTCCCCAACCCCCCTCCGCCTCCCCGTACCCCGACCCCCCTCCGCCTCCCCGTACGTAAACCAACCCCCCTCCGCCTCCCCGTACCCCGACCCCCCTCTACCTCCCTGTGCTCTGGACCCTGCTCCCAGCATAGCCTCCACTGACATGGTCTTGTTCCCACCGCCTGAAGGCCCCTGCTCAGGCTCTGAGTCCTGACCTTTGGGTCTACTGGGCCGCAGGAGCAGACATCCAGGCCCAGAGCCCAGGCTGAGCCCCTCCCCCCCGAGAACTGTTCCTGAGACCTGTGTCCCTGACCACGGCCCCCTCCGCCCGCTCACCTGTAGGCGGCCCCGTTGAGCTCGGGGTGCACGACGGCCGGGTCCATGCTGGCCCAGGGGGCGGCGGCGGCCAGGTGGTCCTTGTTGACGCAGTTCTTCAGGCTGTCGGGGACCCGGCCTGGGCGGCAGGGGCACGGGAGGACGGCATCCGTGTTACACAGCGGCCGCTGGGGGCCCCAGGAGAGGCAGCTCGGTGGAGAACACGGGTCTCCCAGCCATGCCTCCCTTCCTCCCCGCTCCCCCCAGCACGGGGTCCTGTCGGCCTGGCAGGGTCACCCCACCCCATCGGCTAGGCCTGGGGCTTTCGGAGAGCAGCTCAGGCCCAGCCCAGGCTGACACGTGTCCTCTGGCTTACGCTCTGCTAAACCCAGGGGTGACCGCAAGGAGGGTCACAGGGAGGCGCGGGAGAGGCCTGGGCCGCACGTGCTTGCCCGGAGGGAAGGCCAGGCTGCCTCCCAGCCTCGGCCCTCATGTCCCCCAGGGCGGGCCCTCTCCCCGCCCAGGGCCAGCACAGGACGGGCTCCACTGAACAGGTGAGAGCGGAGGTGCCCTCCCCGGCCCTGGCGGAGCTCACTCCCAGGAGCCTTGAAGGGACCCGGCCCTGTGGCGCCCGCCCCGCCCCGCCCACCTGTGATGGCTCTCCGGATCTCCCGGGCTGCCTCCTCGCGCATCTCGATGGACGCCTGCTCGCTGTACCAGGCCGCGTGGGGGGTGCAGATCAGGTTCGGGGCGTCCTTCAGGGGGCCCTGGCTGAAGCTAGGACAGCACCGCGCGGTCAGACACGGCCGGCCCCTCGTCAGACTGGTCCGCAGGCACTCAGGCCTGTCCACGGCTCCCGCCATCGGGGAGGGGCCTCGCCTGGGAGGAGCACTGGTCCCAGGAGCTTCTGGCTTGGACCCCAGGCCCTCCTGCACCACCCACCAGGCTGGCCTGCGGCCTCACACTGGCTTCTCAGCTGTGGGCTCTGAACATTGCCACATGGGGGCCGGCCACCTCGCACACCTGGGCAACCATCACCACCATGCCCTGGACATCCACAGGAAGTGCAGGTCTGAGCCCACCCCTCTCAGCAGGTACAGGGCTCTGAGAGCGGGCCGGGCCTGGGGAAGGTCCTCTGGAGGGGGTCGTGGGCGGGGCACGAGCCCAATTACGCCCCCCGTCTGTGGAGGGTTGGCTGCTGGAGGCTGCGGCCACGTCATGGGTGCTGATGCCAGCCAGCGAGGGGCCTGAGCGGGGGAGTGCCGCGGGGACTCACCTGAAGGGCTCTGACTCGTGCACGTCCAGCGCTGCGCCCCGGATCCGCCCCTCCTTCAGGGCCTGGGCCAGCGCCTTCTCGTCCACCAGGCCCCCGCGGGCCGTGTTCACCAGGAAGGCCCCTTGTCGCATCTGGAAGACACCCAACGCCAGAGCAAGTCCGCCAGCCGCCTCGCTACCTGCTGCTGGCGGGAGGGCATTCCCAGGCGGGCCACCGGGCTGCGGGCTCTGCCGGTGAGGGCCTGGGGCTGTGCCTCGCGGTCCTGGCTCCCCCGGGCTGGCCGGAGGCTCAGCCTGTGTGGCCCCCGGCCGCTGTGGGGGCGCCCTGGTTCCCATCTGCGGGGCACAGGGCAGCTCAGGACACACGGCGAGACTGCGAGCTGCCCAGTGCCAACACTTCCGTGAGGCAAGCCTCAACCTCCAGCGACTCCAAGACCCTCCGTTGCCGTGCCCACCCCATTTGCCGGGAACTTGGCACCAAAAGCTCAGCGGCGTCACATCTGCCATAGGTCACGGCCTTTCAGGGCTCCGGATGGGAAGCCCAAAGCAGCCTCTGCGGCCAGCTTCCCAGCGGGACCAGGAGCGGAGGAGGGCACTGGCCCTGGGCCCGAACGGGGTGGGGGAAGGGGGCAGCTAGCAGGAGCCCTCTGCCGAACTCTGCACGCCTTGTGCTGGCGAGCAGGCCGGCCGCCCTCACCTGGCTCCCGCCCTGACCTCTGGCCCCTGCCCCCGCCCCGCCTTGCTCACCTGCTTGACGGTGAAGTCATTGACCAGGTGGTGGTTGTGCTCGTTGAGGCCGCAGTGCAGGCTCACGCAGTCGCTGTGGAACAGCAGGTCCTGCAGGGTGTTCACCCTCTGCAGCCCCAGGGCCCGCTCAGTGCCGTCCGGCAGGTAGGGGTCGTAGAAGAGCACGTTGAAGCCGAAGGCCTTGGCCCTCAGCGCCACCGCCTGCCCGACGCGCCCTGCGGGGAGACCGGCGTCACCTCGGCCAGGGCCCGCCTCCGCGCAGGCGCTCTGCGTGTGGCAGCCTCTGGGCTCAGGGCTTCCAGCATGGGCCGCGGTCAGTCACCAGGGACCCCACGCGGCCATGCAGGGGACGGGCTCGGGAAAGGGCTGGAGGCAGCCCACGGGGAGCACAGATAGACGCTCAGTGGACAAGAGGGGGCAGCCTGCCCCCATGTGCTGAGCCAGACGCCACCCACCCAGGACGGGGGCCACGGATGAGCCGAGGGTGAGTGGGGGACGGTATGGCAGCGGGAACACCTGCTCCCCCACAGCCGCTGCTGGGGACAGGCCCTGGGGGCAACGTGGCAAAGGGACCTCGGGGCCACCTGGCCCGCCTGGGGGCCACATCCTCTCAGCGTCACACAGCAGGGAGGGCAGCAGGTGAGTGTGAGTGCGCGTGACTGTGGGCCCCTGGGTGATGTCTGCAGGGCCCGTGGCTGGTGTCCCTGGGCACAGGCCCGCCTCGGGGCGGAGCCCCTGCACCCCTCACCTCTCGGTGGGGACCTCATCGTCCACCGAGCCCGCGGAGGGTGAGGCAGACGCGGACTCACCTAGTCCAATGATGCCCAAGGTCTCGCCACGGATCCTGGCGGCTCCGGAAGCCACTTCCCGGATCTGCTCGACGCTCTGGACGCGAGTGCCTTCCCGCAGCGCCTGGTGCAGCCAGGTGGTCCTGCGGTACAGGTTGAGGATGTGGCACATGGTGGAGTCGGCCGTCTCCTCCACGGACGCTGCCGGCACATTGCAGACAGCGATGCCTGGGGACACAAGACATGCTGGGTGGTCACATGGCGTCCCGTGCTCCACGCGTGAGTGGCCAAGGTCACGCCAAGGCCACCCAGAGGCCACAGACAAACACCCGGTGGGAAGCCGCCCCCGAGGCCGATGGAAGAGACGGGACAACTGGACGCCTGGGTCCTGGCTGGACCACCTGCTCCTCCATCTCAGGGAAGAATCTGGAACCAGCCCCACAGACACACGCCTACAAGCCTTGCTCCTGTCTTCCGGCTCCCGGGCCAATGGAGACTTCACTTTGGAGGGGAGGGCCCATCCTCTCATCCCCCACAGCCCCCATGGCCACTCCCCTCCCCCCCGACCTCCAGCCTGGCGGGCCCCTCAGCAGCAGAGTGACCTGGAAAGTGAGCTGCCTCAAGCTTCTGCCTCGCCCCCACTTCTCCACGGAGCCTCGCCCACACCGGCGGGCCCACCGGGAGCCCTGGCCCTTACCCCGTCCCAACGACGCATGGTCACCCCTTGGCCCCGTCTCCTGACGAGGCCCATGCTGGGTTGGGCCCAGTAACAAACAGCCGCAGGAGGACCAGGAAGGGCCAACCCAGCTCCTGGGAAAGCAGGAGGCGCAGGGAGGCCGGGTGGGAAGAAGCTGCCCCCCCCCCCGCGCGAAGGGGGGGCAGGTCCCGGACTTCTGCATCCCCGGCCCGGCCTGCACACGACAACAGTGAGCCCAGGCTCCCTGCTGAGGGTCAGCCCAGCTGTGAGATGGTGACTGAGGGCCGATGCGCAGGGACAGGACAGTCCAGGCCACAGCCCCACCGAGGGCCTCCCAGAGACACTGCCTAGGGAAGGTCAGCAGGGACCCAGGCCTGTGAGGTGCCAGACACCAGAGGTGCCAGCTCAGCCTCAGGTCTGCTTGGTGTGGCTGCACCTCCCTGGCTGTGCTGCATGGTACCGTCCACATCAAATCCGCTTCGCTGTGTCATGTGCATGTGTGTGCATGGAGTCACACATGTACACACTCATGCATGTCCTAACTCACGACATGTACAGCCTTTCCCGTGTCTCCTGGAACCCAAGGACGGCAGGCCGTGCGGCAGAGCAGGCACCGCCCAGACGGGCCACACCAGGGCACCGCGGCTGCGGAGAAGGCCCGTACCCAAGTCCCCGGCCGACTTGATGTCAATGTTGTCGAAGCCGCTGCCGATGCGGACGATGATCCGGAGGGCCTTGAACTTCTCCAGGTCCTCCCGCGTCAGCGTGATGGTGTGGTACATGAGCGCGCCCACCGCCTCATTCAGCACCTGCGGAGGACAGCGGCCTGAGTGCCTCCGGCCGCCCCGCCCTGGCTGGGGCCACCGAGGGCCCGGGGCTTCCTGTGCGTGCAGCAGGCTTGCTGGGGTCGAAAGCCACCAGAGCCGACCAGGTGCCCCAGCCAGGAGAGCGGGTCCCTGCCCCACCATCTGCACAGGGAGGGAGGTGGCACAGACACTGCGTGGATGAGAAGGCTGAGCCCCGGGGGCACTGCGTCCAGAGCCACAGCCCAGGCGTGCGTGTCCCGGAGTCCAGAGGGCTCGCTCCTCTCCCTGCAGCACCACCAGCAGAGCGCACACCCCCCCGGGCCAGCGCCAGCACAGTTCCCCAGGGCCCTCTGGGGGGCAGCTCCGTGGGGCTCCTTCTGGGTCGTGGAGAAATGCTCTGGCAGCAGCCAGATGCTGGAGGACGACCCACAGCGTCCCATCTCCGGGCTCCAGGGCAGAGCGTGAGCGGGCCCTCGGGATGGCCGGGGCACTGGTACGACCGGCCGTGTCATCATTGGGGGCAGGGCTTGTTCTTCCCGAGGACAGAGCCGTGGCCCTGCAGCAAGGGCACCTCGGAGCCGCTGAAACTGGCCGGTGTAGCCCTGGCTGCTGTCTGGCCCCCCGCCCCCCATGCAGGCTGAGCCCTCTGGATGGCAGGGGGACGAGTCCCCGCTGCGCACAGCTTGCTGGGCTCCTAGACGCCACGTGAGCTGAGGGAGAAGCCCGTTGCACCCAGAAGAGCCTGGACATGGACCCGTCAGGTGGACAAGTGGAGCCTGTTTCCACGTGTGGGATGCAGGGCTACAGCCTGCCGCCTCCCACAACAGCCTCCACTGTAGCTGGACATGCAGCCAACCAGCACACAGCTCCCTGGAGGCGGCCTGGAGGAGGCGGCCCGGGGGCCACCTGTGGGCCAGGCAGACAGAAGGCTGGTGGCGGGGCAGGGCCTCGACCAGCTCCTGGAGGCAGGGCAGCCCTGAGAGGGTGTGCGGCTGACCTGCTGGGTACCTGCCCAGGCCCCGGGGTCGGGGGAAGTCAGGCAGCGCAGGCAACAGACCTCTGTGCCAGGACGGACCTGGTGCAGGAGGGTCTGTGCCAGCAAAAAGCAGCCAGTGCCGACAAGGCCAGAGGGACAAACCGGGAGTGTGGGGAGGACACGGCTGAGGCAGTGAGCGTGCGAAGGCTGGGGCGGAGGGGTGGGCAGGCTCTGCCCCCTCTGCTGTGTGAACTGGGGGGGGGGCGGGGCACAGAGCTGGTGAGGGGGACCTGTGGCAAGTGGAGTGGGCAGATGGAGGTGCCCACTATGGGCGGGCACAGCCGGGCCCTAGAAACAGAGGTGGACCCATCGATGGAGTCTGAGGAGCAGCAGCCCGGCCTCAGAGACACGAGGGGCGAGGGCGGGGTGGGAAAGGGCGGGCACACGTGGCCCTCGCCAGGCTGAGGCGCAGCCGCCGACAGGACAGACAGACCACCCTCGAGGTAAGGGGAGGCGCAGCATGCCCGCGGGCTTAATCCCGAGAGGTCTCACTGCTGCCGGAACCATGCTCCGTCCCAGCGAGGGACCCAGTGACCGGCTGCCACGGTGGGCGCACGGCTGCGTCCATTCTCAGAAACACAAACCAGGGGTGGGCCACAGAGCCCGCCAAAGGCCCTGGCGGCGGCGCCCTCCGCCCGGCCGCGCAGCGCTGGCAGTTTGAGTGGGAGCAGTGATGGAGGCCATGGTTTTAGCTGAGCTTGCCGGCCCGAGTGTCTTCACAGGCTGCTTCTCCACATCCGGTCCCTTTCCTAGCCCAGAGGTCTGCAAACTCAGTGGTCAACGGAGAGGCAACCGCGGTGCCTGTTTGCCGAGACTGTCCTGGCCTGTGTTCATCGGGCGCCAGGCAAAGGCTCGGAGTAAGGCTCCTCAGCAGCTCCCGCCCAGCGGTCGCGGGAGGCCACGCTGCAAAGCGGCGGAGCCCACAGCGGCCGCCTGCCCGGGACAGGGGCAGGGCCGCGCTGCCCGACCCCGCCGCTCTCCAGGCCGGTTCCCGCGGCTCTGTGGTTGCAGAGCCACAGCACCGGGACCTACAGCCTCCCAGAGGCGCTGGGCAGACGTCCACTCAGGCCCTCTGCAAACCAGCAAACACCCCCCTGCGCCGGGACTAACCAGTGCCCTCAGCTCCAGAGCACGGGACCAGGGCCCATTGCAGAGGCTCCGAGCAGGGCCTGGCACTCCATGGCAGCAGGGCCCCAAGGTGCTGTCAGGCACCACGGCAAAGCCAGGGTTTGGTGGGCACCGGGCACAAGCTTTCGGAGGCGTCTTTCCACTTCACGGTCTCCTGAGTCCACATCTACAGGCAGGGCCCCTCTGAAGCCTTCCAGAAGGTTCCATGACGAGCCGCCATGTGCAGGCCCAGCATCGATGCTTCAGATGTCTCTTTGCAAGAGCCCGGCTGCCTCGGGCCACAGCCCCGCATGTTCCCACAGTGAGCAGTGCCCCAGTGCCCCAGTGCCTGGGGTGGGGGGTCCCCCTGCTGGTTTGTGGGTCGCAGGGCCCGGAGCATCGCCGACCCTGTCTGTCGGTCCGGCTGCTGCAGGCCCTGCCAACATCCTGGTCTCCCCTGCCTCCGGCACTTCCGCACGTGACAGCTGTTGCCGTCCAATCAGACGGCTCCTACCCACTGCTGCCTGGTCTCCCTCCTCAGGGTCCTCAGTGCCCACAGGGCAGGGACCCCTCAGTGTCACCAGGGCTCCCCAGGCCCTCACCCCGACCGGAGGCCACTCCGTATCCCCTTGGAGGGCCGTTTCCAGTGTCCGGTCCCCTCTCAGCATGGCGCAGCGCCGGCAGCCACCGGCCACCACCACAGCGTTCCTGCATTTCCCGGGACTTCCCGCGTTTCCCGGGACTTCCCGCCTTCCCCGGTGCCAGTGCCTGCCTCCTGGCATGCTCCCGGCGGCGCGGGTCCGGGCGCTCCACCAGCCGTCCCATCCGTGCATCCAGCAGCTCTGAAGCACCGGTGGCTGGGCTGGCCTTGGCTTGGCCGGCAGCACCCCTCCCCCCCCCCCCCCCGCGCTGGCAGAACCCAAACTCGCGCGGTGACCCCCCCTTCCTTCCGCAGCACTCGGGTGAGGTGGCCATCTAGCCTCGGAGGGGTCAGGGCTCCACCCAGTGACATGCAGCCAGTCCCCCCCACCACACATGGGCGGGCGGGCGGGTGGGGAGCCTGCGTGTGCTGACGCTCTGGGAGCCGGCTCCTGGTTCCGGGCATTCCCACCCGAGGGCGGCGAGGCGCCAGCTGCCACGGCAGTTCCAGCGGGGAGAGGGCGGTGCCGACAGTGCTGGCATGTGGCCGCCAGAGGGCTCCGGGTCACTGTGCCCGAGGCGGCCGCCTCTCCTTCCTCTCCCATCACCTCTGGGCGTCTGGGGACCGTCCTTCCAGCTCCCTGTTCACTCTGACTGCCCCGTTCTAATGGCAGGCTGCCGGGCGAGCAGGCTGCTGGCCGAGGACGCTCCTCCGGGAGGCGATGTCTGTCTGTCTGTCCACCAGGGGGGGCTCCCTTGCCGAGCTGGTCCTGGCCAGTGACCACTGGAGAAGCCGGCTGTTGGGTCTTCGTTTTCCGATCCATTGGGAAACGTGTCTGCACACCGCTGGTGGCGTTTTACCCTTCCTCTTCGTCTCTCCCATCCCATGAACTCTTAGGAACGTCTTCCCAGTCTGAGAGCTTTGGGATTCACAAGTCGCCAGCGGTGCAAAGGATGCCTGCCCCCAGCCAGCTCCCTCGGGACACCCTCGCCCACTCCAGCGGCCCTGCTGGGGGCGTGTGCCCAGCTCCAGGCTGTCGCCACTGTCCCTCGAGCAGCCACCACGGACACAGGCCTGGCCGCCAGCACACAGACACCGCCTGTCGGCTCCTGTCACGGGGGCCCCAGCCCCCGGCACCGCTGCCCCCACCAGCATCCCCTCGCCCGAGAGACCAGCGTGGCACCCCCTCAGGCCTCAGCCCCAGCACTGCAGCCCCAGCACCGCGGCTCCAGCGCCTCCTGCAGGTCGCTGGTCCCTGGGCAGCTCGCTTCCTTTGCAGCGTCTGTCGCCCGGAGGAGGGACGCGTCTCAGGGCGGAGGGAGGAGCCAGCAGCCAGGCTGCAGGAACCTCACGCACTGAGCTGTTTCTCTGGCGTAAAAGCCAAAGGTGAGGCCGTGGGGGTGACGGGCAGGTGCCCAGCCTAACGGGGACCACAGGCATCTGGCCCACCCGTGTTCTGAGACTCCGACAGGAACGTGTGGACGCCACACGGGGCCCTCTCCCACCCACGCCTCGTCCGGCCTCCTGCCCCCGGACCTCCCTCTTTCGGATCGAGACCCTCGGCAGCGTTTGCCACTTTCCAAGTTATCAGTTCCTGGCGGAAGGTCACGCTCTCTCCTCCCGTTGGCTGTGGCTGTGCTCATGGCCTGGGTCTCCGCTCAGCAAGCTCCCTCTGCTGCCCGTTTCCCTGGACCCATGAGGCCGCAGCCACCAGCTGGGTTCCGCTCGTCCTTTCTCCAGGCCTGACCCAGACCAGGGAGCCCGGCACAAGCCAGCCAGGGCAAGGCTGCCCGCCCCGCCTGCAGCCGCCTCTCCCCGAGCAGCAGCCTGCCGGCCACACCAGGCCCCCCCAGGCCCGGCCCCCCGCGGACTGGCTCTGGGATGTTGCTCTTTTAAAACCATGTCCAGTTCCCGCCTGTCTCAGCGGGAAGGTGGTTCTGAAGGACTTAGCCAGGACTACAAACGGAAAACCAGGTTAACTCACTTCCCTTCCAGGGGCCCCAGGGCCCCCGAGCAGACACCACCGTGGGCTGCAGGGCCCCGGACCCACAGCCCAGCTCCGCCCGTTGGCAAAGCTGCTGGACGGAGAGGACGGAAGCTCCTCGGAGTGAGTGCCTCTCCGCTTCCTGCCCGTCCCGGCCCCGCCCCGCCCCGCCCCGCCCCCCGCTGAGCCCACGTGTACCTTCTCGTGGATCTCCTGTGTGGACTGCGCGTCACAGAAGGCCACCGTGGCCACGTCCTTCAGGATGGGCATCTCCACCGTGCAGTCCCGGCCGTCCAGCAGGGCCACCAGGGGCCGGGGGTGCAGGGGCCCGTTCATGATCGGGGGTCGGACGCCTGCAACGACAGACACGGTGCTCAGCCTCCGCTCGGCCGGCTACCCCCAGCCTGCCACCATCCTGGGGACGCGTGCCGTGTCCAGTCACCTGACCCTCAGACTGAGCGGAAACCAGTGGGAAAAGGACCCCTCGCTGACACCACGACAGACCACTGGTGAGTGGACCCGCAGGGGGAACAGCGAAGCGCAGGGGCCCAGGACCGGCAGGGGGGACAGCCAGGGGTGGGGGCCTGGGCCGGCAGGGTGGTCTCCACGTGGCACTGGGACAGGTTCCCTTTCTGCCTCAGGCTGCGGCCTGGCTGCCCCCAAACCCCTGCAGGACGGTGCCCAGGCAGACAGGGTGGACACGGGGACCCTCTTCCGAAGGTGAGGCGGCAGCGCCTCGCTCTGGCCTGTGGGAACACGGCTTCCCCGTACCCGTGCGTGCTGGCCACCCGGCCCCTCGCAGGGACTTGCAGGAACCCACCGCACAGGCCAGCGCCCGCGGCTCAGGAGCAGCCAGGAGGGGTGACCGTGCCAGCCCACTGCCACACCGCCCATCACGCCACTGCTGCCCGGGCGCTGCCCACCTACCGCCTTCACAGACAGCAAAGATGTGGACGTGCCGAGACCGGGCCAGCGGTCCGTGTGGGGTCTGCAAGGCCCGACCACACCTCCGGGCCCCCCACCACTGCCTCCGGGCCCCCCCACCTGCCTCTGGGTCCCCGCCCACTGCCTCACCGCCCCCCCCACCGCCTCCGGGTCCCGCCCACTGCCTCCCGCCCTCCACCTCCGGGTCCCCACTGCCCAGCAGCAGAGAGCCAAACCCCAGCTCGCCCGGCTCCACCTTCGCTTCTGCGAGAACTAGGTTCCCACTGCCGTTCCCACGTGACGTGGCCAGCGCCTATTTCCATGTCCAGCAGGTCCACACAACAACCACCCACACGTGCAGGGCCCTCATCCCACGCTGACCCTGCACACTCGGACCCCCGGCCCGACCTGACTCAAGGGAAGCAGACTGCCCTAGCCCAGCGTCAGGGCTGGCCACGGCCGTGTGTGTGTGTGTGTGTGTGTGTGTGTGTGTGTGTGGTGTGTGTGTTACATGTGTGTGTGTTGTGTGCGTGCATGTGTGAGCGTGTACGTGTGTATGTGGGGAGGGGCAGAACCATCAAGGTGGTGCAGGTACAGGGCTCAGCAGAAGACCCTCACCCACTCCGTGGCCACAGACACCAGAACAAACGCGGCGCCCGCCTCCATCGGCCCCAGGACCACCCCTATCCCCCCCCGCCCCCCTTCCCAACAGACACCACGCACGGCAGCAAACACGCAGCTAACACGGCGGCGGGTGCCATTCCCGTACAGGAGCCCCCACGTCCTGACGCCCTGTGTGGGGGGTGCAGGCCCGCGGCACCAGCGGGCGGGCGGAAGGACGCTCCCAGGCGCAGCGCCCCGGCGGAGATGGGAGGGCTCGCATGGCCTCCGCTCCGGCTCTCCTACCAACCTGACATTGCCTAAAGTGGGCTGGGCTTCCACGACCATGAATTCGACTTTCAACACGTTTATCTTCGCGTCCCCGGGCAGACCTGGTCCTGTCACTGGATGCTCATCCCACGTCTTTAATCTCTCGAACCAAAGCTCGGGCTGCGGGTCCACGGCAGCCACGGGCGCCCGCACCGGCTCAGAGTCTGACTAAAAATCAAACACAAGAGACACGTTAGCGCTGCCGGCGCCCGGGCCTCAGACGGCGCGTCCACGACGCTGGCGAGGGAGTGCCGCGGGCCGTGGCCAGGACGGAGACGCTGAGGGAGGCCTGCCTGAGTCTGGCCGATGTCCCCTCCCTGTGCCGGCCCACTGAGCTCTGTCCGCCGGAGCCACAGTGCCCAGGAGGCGGGGGCCGGTCTGCAGCCGTTCCGAAGCTTCTGCCTCAGGTCCCCGTGCAGAGGCCCCTGGGAGGGGCAGTGCAGCCCCAACCGGGACGCCAGCTTTGCACAGCGAGCCGGCGGGGGCCTCCTGGGCAGCCAGGGACGGCGCTCAGATGGTGGCCAGGCCTGAGGGCAGAGGCTCCCCGGCAGGGACCAGCACGAGGAGGTTCCGGCCTGGGCACGGTGCAGGGTGACCGACGGGGCTGGGACACAGGTGGGCATGGGACCACAGCAGCCATGGTGGCAGCGCAGGGAGCTCGCCTGGAGGGCCTGTCCTCGCCCACGGATTACACAGCCTCCCCCACCCCGAGCCCGGGCTGTGGGCCCCCGGGAGGCCAGGCCAGACTGCCGGGGACGGCTGCCCCAGGGGCTCCACGTCTGGAAGGATCTCCCTTCTCTGTGGGGCCAAGCGCCACTCGATCTGCATCGCGGCTCCCGCACGCAGGCTCCCGCGCCCTCTCCCCGCAATGGGCTGCGCCCCGGCCTGGGCGGAGGGGGCTGGGCACATGGGTCCAGGCAGGCCTCAGCTCCCCAGGCCCCTGTGGCAGCCGCCCCCCACCGGCTCCTGGCTCCTGGCTGCACCGGCTCCACCGGGCTGACCCCTCAGCTGTGGCCGCAGAGCGCGTCCCTGCTGGTCCCTCTCGTCACCGCCATCAGCTCTTCATGGGCCAGGCCGGCCGCCCGGCCCCGCCACGCCCACTCAGCGTGGACAGCGTCCCTGTGACCGACAGCTCCCGAGGAGGGCCCTCCGCCGCTCACGGCCACAACGCTCTGGGTCTCAGCTTCGTGACGCGTTTCCACTGCAAACGACGGGCCCTTTAACTTCCTGCATAAGCGCCCTGGGCCAGCCACCGCCGCCGCCCACGGCAGGACAGGGCACCAGTCTCGCCCTGGCCCTGACCTCCACAGAGGACGCTGCGGACGGCGCCAGGTGCGAGGCCGGGCGGCACGGCCTGCAGACGCCGGCCACAGGTCCCGGGTGGCCAGCAGGGTGGAACCCGGCCCGGTCTCCGCGGCCCAGCTGGCTTCCTGGGGACACCAGGCCTGCGCGTCCCTCAGCCAGGCGGCCTGCGGTGGCTCTGCCCGCGGTGGGACTGCCCTGCAGGAGGCGCCCAAGGGCCTCCACCTCCTCTCGCTCCCGGCCACCCAGCTGCCACGAGCTCGTTCCAAACAGGCAGCGCTCCCTCCAGGCAGCGGAGCCCCGTCCTCCCCGAGGGGCCCAGGGCTCAGCCCGGTGACGCACTGGCACTGCCCATGTCCCGAGGGTCCTCGCCGCCCTCGGAGTGAACCAGCCGCGGTGCCCGGGCGCCGCCCCCTGTGGTCCCCGTGCCCCCCCTCTCGTGAGAGCAGCATTGAGGAGGCTCTGCTCTGCCCACCGAGCGGCCGGGGCCGTACAGGGACAGCCCGCCCTCGCACCTGGTCCGTCATGGTGGGGAGGGGGTGGCCAGTGCCCAGGCACCTCCCAGGCAGCCACTCCGTGCTCTCAGCCTCAGGGCCAGCGGGAGCACCAACGGGTCACCTCACGTTGCTCAGGCTGCCCAGGGCTCAGGCGGGAGGCTGCCCTGTCCCCTCTCCCTCACAGACGGGCGGGGGAGGGGCTGTCAGTGCCCTCCGGCCCGGCTGCACCTGCACGTCCCAGCACCGGAACCCAGCCCCTTCTCTTCCCTTGAGCCTTCCCTCCCTCCTCCCCCCCCTCGGCCTCGGCGTTCACCCGGGACACGGGCTGTGCTGGTTCAGCCAAGATGTCCACACATCTGCCTCGCCACCCAGGCACCTCTGCTCCTGCCTCCGTGCCTGAGGGGCAGTAAGGAGCGAGTCCTCACAACCCTGCCTTCACCTGCTGACCCGTCCCACGGCCAGATTTGGCTCCGGGGCCGGTGACACGCCCACTCCTGCAGCCCGTGGCTCAGAAAGGTGACAGCGGCAGGCATCCAGGACAGAGCACAGCACAGCACAGCACACCGCAGCCCGGCCAGAGGGATGGCCGACGGCAACGGACCCAGCAGCACACGCGGAATCGCCAGCCACAGCGCAGGCAGGCCTCCGCCCACCTCCGCCCGCACCACCTCCGCCTGCCACCTCCGCCCCGGCCGTTCACCTGGGAAAGCGGGGCAGGGAGGGGCTGCGGCGGGACCTGATGGCGCGCCCTCAGGCCAGGCGCTGCTGCCCGGCGGCGGGGCCTGCACTGCACGGCGCTCTCAGGAAGGACGGTGCAGCCGGCACACGCCGTCACAGGAGGCGCCGAGCCCTCTGGAAGCTCACCCAGAACTCGGCCCCCAGCGCCCGGCTCCTTTCCGGCCCCAGGGGCCCCGTACCCAGCCCCTCTGCTCGGCCCTCGCTCAGATCCTGGAGGTGAGAACATGGGGCTCCTGGGAGAGCACGGGGCACCGACCGCCCCCAACCCCCCACGCGAAGAGTACCCACTGCAGGGAGACCGCGGGCTGCAGGACTCACACGGACCCAGAACGCCGTGGTCAGCGCCAGCCACGCAGTCACCGCCTCCGCCACGACGCGCCCCACCAGTCACCACGGACGCGTCGTGGGGACACCGAGACCGTACACGTGTGGACACCGAGCCCGTACGCGGCACAGCCCACCTGGCCCAACAGCCACCTGGCGGGTCCGTAACAAGCCCTTTCAGGCTGCAGTGCTGCCCGGCCCCACCAGGGGGCCACCCCCCAGAATGACAGACAGAAACAGCACCAAGGGCCTCCCTGTTGTCCCTGACAACAGCCCCAAGTCCCCGGCTCTGTAGGAAGAGACCGAGGGGCCTGAGGGGCTGGTGCACAGCCCCGGGCGGGGCGGAGGCTGAGCTGCTGGAAGAGGTGAGCCCGGGCGTGGGGAGATCCTGACCTGGGGGGCAGCCGGCGGAGTGGTGGTCACCCCACCTGCGCGGACGGCAGGGCAGGGCGTGAGCCGGCTGCCCACAGTGAGGAGGACACCCGGGTGCTCGGAGCTGGCACAGGACACGTGCCTCACAGCGTTCGCCCTGGCGCCGGTGGCACCAGGACCGACCAGCGGGGGCTTGGCCAGCACAGGGGCCGACCAAGTGCATCGGCACCAACAGGCAGTGCTGGCTCCTCGGGACATTCCCACTGAGGCCCCTGCTCTGGGCTGGGCCGTGGGGAGCCGTGGCCAGACCCGCTCTGAACCCCACGCGCCTTCTGCAGAGACGTGCTCTCTGCCTGCAGAGGACAGTCCCGGATGCCCGCGCAGGGGGGTGGGCGGCGTGCCCTCAGCCGATGCCAGCTTCCCAAAGCCACGCGCCACGCAAAGGAAGCCGCTGCGTGAAGAGAAGTGGCCCTCATGTGCCCGCAGCTGACCCTCCGCCACCTGGAGCGCTCGGCACCAGCAGGCCCTCACGCCCGCCCGCCTGCCGGCCTGCCCGCCGGGCCTGAGGAAGTGAATCTGGTGAATCTGCCCTGACCCGGCCAATCGCAGAGGTCATCGCCGAGGGGCTGGCTCCGCGCCAGGGCTGGCTGCTCCAGAACTGCCAGCTTACAGCAGGTTCCGGCCCTGGCTGCTCCAAGCAGGGAGAGCCGGGCTGGGCGCCCGCCAAACAAAGCTCCCAGGGCCTCCCTCCGGCTCAGGTGTGGTGGCAGCCCCTCCCTCCTCCGCCGCCGAGAGGGCAGGGGGCGGGGCGGGGAGAGGAAGCCGCAGACCCCAAGGCCGGCAGGCGGCCGCTCCCACCACGCCCGCCCGCCCTTCCCGGGAGGAGGCCCCAGCCTGGCAGGCGGGGAGTCGACAAGGACTGGAGTGCAAGATGGCCTCCGGAGTCGGCAGGGCAGGGAGGCGGCTGCCAGCGGGCCGCTGCCGCCCAGGGCCCTCCCCAACCCGCCTGCAACCCCTCGCCCGAGCTCAGGCCTGGAGCCCCCGCCGAGGTCCCTGTTTCCGACGCCTTCCAACGCGAAGGGGGAAGGTGCCAACATAGCTGGGTCCAAAGCTCTTGAATTATTAAGGTGGAAACATCGGCTCGGGGAGGGCCTGCGGTTTGCAAAGTTCTGGCGGCGCCACCGGCTGCAGGGCCGTGCCCACCTCCACCTGTGCGCCACGCAGCGGCTGAGGCTGTGCCCGCTGAGGGCCACGAGCGGGACGTCTTTATAAATGGACAAAACACCCCAATGGCAGCACAGGGCCGGCTATAAGACATCCCACTGGGACCGCCGGGCTGGAGGGCAAGGCGCCCGGGCGCCTGTTGCTCAAAAAAAACCTCCGTTTGGAGGGTTGCAACCTTCCAAGCAGCCCAGCATCCAGGGCAGCAAACAGGCTGGAGGAGCCTCTGCAGGGCCACAGGCCCCTGGGCCAGAACACAGTTACTTTCCTTTTCTGCAGAGCAATTCGTTTGCAGTTAATCAGTCACTCCACTCCGGTGGCCTAGGCCACCCGGGCCGCTGAGCCCTGGACAGTCACCGCAGGGAGTGACACGGCCGGCCCCCAGGCAGACCCCGGGCAGCGAAGGGCCCAGGGCCTCTGGCCGGCCCCGGGACCGGGGCACACGCTGGGGTCTGGCATCTCAGGTCTGAGGCCCGGACCTCAGGGTCTGATCTGAGGCCTGGGGGTGGACACCCGGGACCTGGGAGGTGGGAGCTACCGTTTGGGGGCGGACACCGGGACCGGCGGCCTGGCGGGCGCGGGGCCCGAGGGTCTGGGGGAGCCGGGATCGGGGGACCCGACAGGCCGGGGACTGTGAACCTCGGAGCCAGAAGGCCGGGGGCGGCTGGGCCGAGGGCTGGAAGGTCGAGGACCCGCGCCCCTTTGTGTCACCTGCGCGGCGGCGGGCGGGAGGGCGGCGCCGGCGCACGCGCACGCCCACGCAGCAGCACGCGCACGCGCTCGGCGCGCCCCGGCCCGGCCCCGCCCCCAGGCCGCCGGCGCGCGCACGCCGGCGCGCACGCGCACTCGCACACAAAGCCGCGGCCCCGCCCGCCGCCCCGCCCCCGCGGCCGGAAATGCGCGCGCGCGGCCTTACCGAGCGGCAGGCCCTTGTTGAGCAAGTGCGAGCTGCCCATTGAAAGGCGCGGGCGGCCGCGGGCCCCGACGAGTCCGGCGCGCTCCGCCGCGAGCCCGGCGCCTGGGGCGGCCTGGGCGCCGTCCGCTGCTCCGCCCGCTCGCCTGCGCCCCGGCGCCGCCGTCCGAGCCGCGCCGCGCCGCGCCAGCAGCCGCTCCACCGGGCGGGCGGGGACAGGCGCGCGCGCGCGCGCGGGCGGGGCTTCCGGCCCAGCGGCCTCCTGTTTCCCGGCGCGGGCGCCGCGCAGCACCACGCGGGCGGCTGCTGACCGCGCCCGCCCGCCCGCCCCGCCCGCCCCGCCCGCGGCCGGTCTGCCCACCCCGCCTCGGCCCCGCACCAGCATCTGCCAGGCCGGGGCTCCATGCTTCCTCCTTCCGGTTGCACCCAGCACACGCCCGCCCCGCACACCTACCTCCCTAGGTACGGGCAGCCGGGTGGAGGCGCCCGGCGGGCTCCCTGGTCCCGGTGAGCTCGGCGCTGGAAACCCGCTCCCAGACCGAAGGCAGAGCCGGGTTTCCGGGGCCTGCCCGGGGGGCGGGGAGGGGCGTCCCGGGAGTGGCCGGGTGTGGCCGAAAAGAGCTCCCCGCCCCGGCCTGCCTGGCATCGCCTCCCGCCCGTGCTTCCGTCCGGAGGTCCGGCGGGCCCTGGCCCCGAGGCAGGTGCTCCGCTCCGGGGGAGGAGGAGGAGGACCCGGCAGCCGGGGAGGCCCTCCTGCCCGGAAGGGGCGAGCACTGGGCTGTGGGCAGTTCTGTGGAGCAGGTGGACCATCCGGAGTCATTCCTGCTGTCTGTTTTAATTCATGTCAGTGAGAAAGTCGGGGACTCATAAAGGAGGGTGGAGAACTAGGTATCAGGGCTTTTAACCCCTCACTGGGTGCTCATCTAAGAAAATATGCCCGGCCGCCGCGGCTCGGGTTGAGCGTCAGCCTAGGAACCAGGAGGTCACGGTTCAATTCTGTGTCAGGCCAACGATCCGGGGTCCCGGCTCCATCCCGTGTGGGGCAAGCAGGAGGCAGCCGATCCATAACTCCTGTTTCTATCTCTCTCTCTCTCCGAAATAAGTATATTTTAGAGAAAAATAGAAAGAAAACCCCATGTTGGAGAGGATGAACAAAGCCAAAAGCTGGCGCTTTGAAAAGGCGGGTGGTGGGCAGCCTCCGATGACCCCAGCCCTGGCTCTCACACACACACTGGCCGGCCGCTGCATGACCAGAACCCAGCAGGGTGGGTTCCGCTCCCTCTGGGCAAACTCGGCTCAGGGCACAAAGAATGCTGAGGGAGCCAGAGCGTGCCCCCCCCCCCCTCCCCGCCACGGAAGCCCTGATGCGGGCTGGCTTCACCCCAGGCCAGGGGCAGAGGACACCACCAGGAGTGAGAACCCTCACCGCAGCAGCAGGCGACCAACCGCCTCCGGCCCCAGGACAGATCCAAACCCCGCGCAGACACACGGGGCGTTTATGACAGGAAAAGGGTCATTACACTGTGTCCGCAGGAAGTGGGGCCGCGGCCGCCCAGGCGGGAGGGCCCCTCCGGAGCCCAGCAGGCCCGGGACGTGAAGACACAGGTGCTTGTCCTGCCTCGGCACACTCGCCGCGGCCCGTTCCCGCCCTGCACACACCCGTCCCCACCCTGCACACACCAGTCCCCGCCCTGCACACTCCCCGCAGCCGTCCCCGCCCTGCACGCCCCGAGGACCCTCCAGGTCCGCTGAGAGCAGAAAGCTGGTCCCCTCATCACCCACGTCTTTAGCACCCGGCCCTGCGGGAAGCGAGGAGCAGGTCAGGAGGACAGGGGAAGGGAGGCAGGGCTTTGTCCGTGGCCTGTGTCTCGCTTGGCAGGAGAATTACTGGCCTTGGAAGCGAGCAGGTGGGCGGGGCACGGAAGCGCACAGACGATGCTGGGGAGACGTGGGCCCGCGAGGATGCCTCGGCTTCGTGCACCAGGACTTCCGGCCCAAAATGGCGCCGGTGCCCGTGGTTGTCATCGCCCAAGGAGCCGCCCGGTGTCAGGGGGTCCGTGTGGGTCACCCGTCCGATCAGCGGAGACCGCCTTCGCACCAGCCCCTGGGGCTCCCATCCCCTCTTCTCAACGCCTCATTTTAGCCTCTCACACTCGCCCTCACAGATCAAAGGCAAAGGGCGACGACTGGTCCCTGCCATCTGCCTTTTTTTATTTTTATTTTTAAAATATATTTTATTGATTTTTTACAGAGAAAGGAGAGAAATAATCAATCAGCTGCCTCTTGCACACCCCCTACTGGGGATGTGTCCACAACCAAGGTACATGCCCTTGACCGGAATGGAACCTGGGACCCTTCAGTGCCCAGTTGACGCTCTATCCACTGAGCCACACCGGTTTCGGCCATCTGCCTTTTTTTTTTTTTTTTAGTGAAAAGCAGGACGCCCCGAACCCACCTGCCTCCTCAGCAGGCACCCTCTCAGGCTCTACTGGCTGGGAGTGGGTCAGTCCCAGCAGCGAGGAAGGGGCAGACCGTGGTAAATGCCCCGCTCCCGTTGGCGGGCAGTCCCTGGGAATGCCTCTGCCTGTGCCCACTGCAGGCAGAGACTGGGACAGCGGACACGGACCAGTAGCTGCGATGTTTAGTGTCACCCATTCAGAGAGAAACGGGGAGGGGGGGCGGGGGCTGGGAAAGACCGAGGACATTCTCCACAGCAGGTCCCGGACCCGAAGTCCAGGTATAGAATGAGCTGTTTGTCCAGGGCGCAGCGGTGAGACCGGAGTGTGGTGGGCGGGAGGGTGGGGTGCTGTCCCTGGGCTCTCCCCTCCGTATGATGACCCTTCCCCTCCGCAGTGCCACCGCCTCTGTCCCGGCCCCAGATCGCCCGCGGCCTGCCAGCCCTGACCATCTTTCTCCGAGGTCTAGGCCATCAGATGGGAGAAGCATTGCAGCGTCCGGCCGGGCTGCGATCACCATGGAAACAAACCCCCGGGCCCGCACCGCCAGCTCTGGGGTTTCCCAGGTGGCGGCCCAGGCCGGGCGGCTCAGGGTCCGGTCGGGTGGAAGGGGTCTGGCGCCGCCGGGGGCAAGGCAGGCCCGGGGTGGGGGGTGGGAGAGGGGCCCGGGAGAGCCCCCCATTGGCTGTGGCGCGGGGTGACGTCACGAGGAGGCACTGTGAAGCCAGGGGGTGCGGAGGGGAGGGGCGGCCGGCTCCCGCCGGTCCAGCCGGTCCCAGGCCTGGCGCCCCACCTTCGCTCAGTTTGAGGCACCGACGTCTGAAAAGCCCCTGGGAAGTGACTGTTCTGCCGAAGCCCTGAGATTCCGCCCGCGGGAAGGAAGGATGAAAGTGCCCTGAGGACGGACGCAGTGCGGCTCCCTGGGCCAGCACACCGCGCCCCATCCTGGGGAACGAGCTTTTATTTCTGCACCTGCAGCCGTGCTGTGCCGTCCGGGCCCACGATTTCTACTCCCTGCAAGTTAGCTGTAAATGCCCCCTTCTCTCTCCCGGCAGGGAACCCGGGGTCCCCCTTCTCTCTCCCGGCAGGAAACCCGGGGTTCCGATGCGATCCCAGCAGCTGTTAACCGGGAAATGGGGCCCAGACGCTGATCTGCAGCGCGGGCTGCGGACATTGTGGCCACGTCGCCGGAGGACAAACTCGGAGGACCAGCCCCAAGGGGGTCACTTCCTGGGGAGTCGCTGACACGAGGGGTCACAGCCTCAAAGGGCCGTTCCGCGGGTGACCCCACCCCCTTCGCCCCCACAGCCGCGCCCCCCACGGGTCCCAGCCCAGCGACCCGCCCCTACCCTCTCCAACCGCGGGCGCTGCGGGCGGCCGACGGCCGGGAGCGACCTGGGGCCAAGAGTCAGCCCGCCCCGCCCCTGGTTCAAGGAGAGACCCGCCCGACGGCCTTCCAGCTGATTGGCTGGAGGACAGACAGGCCGGCGGTGATTGGTCCGGCCGGACGCCTCTCGGCGCGCACGCCGCGGCCGCGCCTTCTTCCGCCGCCGGGCCGAGGGGCGGACGCGATTGGTGCGGATGCGCCGCCCCGCCCACCAGGCCCCGCCCTCCGCGCAGCATCACTACCCGGCGTGCCGCGCGGCGCTTCCCCTCCGCCCGCTAATGTTTTGGCCGACGCAAGATGGCGGTGCAGGAGTCGGCCGCCCAGCTCTCCATGACCCTGAAGGTGCAGGAGTACCCGACCCTCAAGGTGGGTCCGCGGGCGGCGGCCGCGTCTGGCCGGGACCGGCGGGCCGTTGCGGCGGGGGCGGGGCGCGCCCCGGGCGAAGGGCGGGCCTGGGGCCGGGCTCTGCGGGCCGGGGGCGTCGGGCTCCCCGGGGGCGGCGGGGCCGGCGGGTGTGGGGTCCACGGGGCAGGGTCCATGGGGCCTGCGGGTGCGGGGTCACAGGGTTCAGGGGCCGGGCTCCGGCCGGCTTCCCAGGGTCTGCGGGGCCCGAGCGCCGGGCTCTCTGTCCGCCGGGTGCGGGCGGCCTCGCTGGCGTGGCGGGTGGTGCGGCTGCCCCGCCCGGCCTGCCAGGGCTTCGTGGCAGGCGGGGAGCCGCTCAGCCCGCCGCCGGCTTCGCCCCCGAGCCGCCCGTGGCCCCGGCGTCGGATCCCGCCTGAGCTGCCCCTGCGGCCCAGCGGCGGGCGGGCGGGCCGGGGCGGGGCGGGGGCCGCGGGGGCCAGCTCCCTCCGTGTGCTGACGGAAGGTGGTGTGTGGCTTCTGGTCCCTAATCAGGGGAATTGCAAGGAGAGCCCCACTAGCTAAGGGGAACGTGTTTTGCGGGGGCGGGGGGGCGGGTACCAAACCAGAAATACAGCCCTTTCCGGTCGGTGACCTTGGGTGGCCCCTGAGCCAAGGCGCATTCCATCAGGTGAAATGCTGTTCCCTGCCGAGGCGGATCCGGGGGGGACACCTGGGGATAAGTTCCTTCCGGGGTCAGGCACAGCCTCCCCGGGAGAGCTGTGGTGAGCAGTATGGGTGGCTCCGAGGTGACCGGCGGTAGTGGGTGTGGTGGTGGGTGCAGGGTTGCGGGGTCACCACTTGCTGGGAGGCCTCAGGCTCTGCCATGTTCACTTCCGTCCGAGGCAGGTGCAGGGAGCCCCGCTGCCACCTGAGTGTGAAATGGGGGAGCCTCCTATTAGAAGGCTGACGGGGAGCCCGCTGCGGCCCGGGCCCTGCTCTTTCACCAGCGGTCAGGCAGGAGGGGACCCTGTCGGGGTGTAGGTGCCAGCGTGCGGCCCACCGCGGCCCCGTGTGGACCGTTACCTGCTGGCCCGTGTCTTCGCCGGCCATCGAGTCGTCATCCGAGCGGATAGACCAGGTTCGAAGGTCAGCACTGGGGGCCCTTTTTGGACCTGGCTGGCGACTGAGAGACAGACAGGAACGGTTTCTCCTCCCGTCACTGCGCAGTCACGCCGGGCTCGGTCCCACAGGTGAAGCAGCCGGCGGTGGAAGTGGGTGTGCGCGGTCATTTCAGGAGGCTCAGCTTCGCCAGGAAGTGGAACTCCTCTAGAACGACTCAGAGGCAGAGTGCTGGCCGCTAGAGACCTGCCCTTCCTGTTCCGTGGACACGCGTCAGCGGCACTGCCGAGCAAGCGTTTTCCTAGGACTGATTCCCAGTGGATAAGGACGTTTCCGTGGGAAATAGGGGTCTTTGATTTGGACGTTTATTAGCATAGATTTCGCGGACTTTGGAAGAGCTGATGGCCGAGCCGTGCTGTGCAGCCCGGCAGGGTCCAGGCCCCGGGCACAGGGCGGGCACACAATGCCCACCTCGAAGAAGGGGGGCAGGGGGCTGGTGCCGGACTGCCGGATGGCGCTGCTGTGCCTCAGGCTGATGGGAATGGGTCCCCTGAGTGCCCAGGAAGAGAAAGGAGCTGTGATGAGGGCAGCAGCTGGCACCTGTCCTCGCTGCGCCCCATCCTGCCAGGAGGGTGGGTGGCCTGGGCCTCCACCGCTGCGGACTTTTGGGCCGGTGCACGCTGGCTTCCACCACCAGGTGCCAGTGTGTGGCCTCAGGTCTCCAACCCCGGCCGGGTGTGCCCTGGGGGAACCACCCGAGAACCACAGCTGCTCTGGCTTCAGGGGTGGTGTCGGGCCCTGGCTGTTCCTCACCCGGGGGCCTTGGGTGTCGGGGGCAGGTCATCCCCTCAGGCCTCCCAGGACTGAATGGGCAGAAACGTGGGTGCCTCGCCCGGTATCTTGAATCAGTTTTATTTTGATAGTTTTTTCTGATTACAAAAGTAACGAATGTTTATTCTCCAAATTATTCTGCTAGCCATCCGTTACTGTTTTGGTAGATTTCATTTCTTCCCTTCAGGCAGTTGATGTCCAATAGCATCTTAGAGACCCTCTTTGTTATTACCAGACTGGGTGGTCCACCCCACCTGAGCAGGGGCCGGGCATGGCCTCCGGGCCACCTGGCGTCTCCCCTGGCCGCCTTCGTCCTCACCTGGAGCCTCAGCTCAGCCCCCCAGCTGTCCTTTCCTCACAGGCGCAGGCGGGGAGCGGTGGTCTGTGAAGGACTTCTCCACCAAAACGTGTAAATTGTGCTTTTAATTTGTGACAGTCCACCAAGTCCTGCCCTGCAGTTCCAGGGCCTGGTCTGTTCTTGTCATGGAGGATCTGGGTGAGGACTGCGTGCCTGAGTGTAGCTTGCAGGCAGCTTTCCGCACCTGCCGTGGCGGGGCTTGGGGGTCTGTGGTCTCTGGGTGGAGAAACTCCGGGGAGCATGGAGTGTGGGGGGGGGGGGCTTTGCTCCTGGTGTGCGGGGTCCTCGGGGGTGGCTAGCGGGGTCTTCACTTCCCCCTGTAGGCTTTTCTACGCACAGAGTCCCTCCCTCAAAGGGTGGCCGCCCTACGGTGCAGACTGCTGCTCTCAGCCCATGCCCCCTGAGGCGTAATTCCCGCCCTCTCCTGGCCTCTCCTCCACACCAGCACGGCCGCACTGCCTTCCCGCCCAGACCCGCAGGCGAGCGCAGGTGGAACCCTTCTCGGCGGAGCTGCGCTGAGCCTGTAGCCTTTCCCTCTGTCTTCCTCACCTGGCCCGGAGGTGTGACACAGGTGCCTGCCCTGAGCGAGCGGGCCCCCTGCTATCCCCTCTCCTCCAGGCCTCCGCTCTGCTGCAGGTGGCTGTTTAGTATTTTCTCAGACGATGTCACGTCGGGAAAAGAAGGGCTTTCTGATGCCCAGGTCTGTGCCCGGCCAGCCCAGCCGGAGTCAGTGCAGCACCCAGCGGGCAGGTGGCCGCAGCCCACCCCCGGCTTCAGGGTCCTGCTCTCCCTGTGCCCCGTGACGCCCAGACCGGTCCTGCTTCTCGGGCCTCCGTCTCACCGTGCGGGACGGAGGCAGAGGGCGGGCTGGGCTCCTCAGCGGCTGGGGGCGAGGGGATGGCCTCTGAGTGCTGCTCTGTGGGGGTGCCGTCCTGTCCTGTGCGGCTCCTGGTGGTGGGAGGGAGGCACTGAACGCGTGGACAGTACATTTCAGAGCTTTATCGACCAGGATAAAGGTGGGGCCAGTGGATGGCTGGGAGCGGTGGCAGGGGCGGCGGCCGAGGCGCGTGTTTTGGGAGGGCTGGTGGCCGTGTTGATTCTCCCCGTTGGCACTCGGCCCCGTGGAGCATTCCCAAAGCCACACACAGGTGTGACTGAAGGGCCACCGGTGCTCAGCCGCAGGCCAGCAGGTCCCAGGACGGGGAGCAGCCAGGACGACAGATCCCAGAGCAAAGCGGTGACACCGGCAAGAGCACTTGAGCTTCCCCGAGGGGCTTTGGCGGAGCTTGGCCCAGGGCTGGCGGTGTGTCAGGTGCAACATGCCCTAGCCCAGTGGTCGGCAGACTCATTAGTCAACAGCCAAATATCATAGCACAAGGATTGAAATTTCTTTTGAGAGCCACTTCAACTTTTTATTTTATTTTATTTTTAAATATATTTTATTGATTTTGTACAGAGAGGAAGGGAGAGAGATAGTTAGAAACATCGATGAGAGTCATTGATCAGCTGCCCCCTGCACACCCCCTACTGGGGATATGCCCTTGACCGGAATCGAACCCGGGACCCTTCAGTCCCCAAGCCGACGCTCTATCCATTGAGCCAAACCGGTTTCGGCAACTTCAACTTCTTCTAACGCCACTTCTTCCAAACAGACTCGCCCGGCCGTGGTATTTTGTGGAAGAGCCACACTCAAGGGGCCAGAGAGCCGCATGTGGCTCACGAGCCGCAGCTCTGGAGTCTTTATACCCGGACACCATTATTTTGAAAACCTGTGAAAAAAAGAATTATTTACTGTTTCAACAATTGCAAACTAATAGTTAACAACTAAGCCCGGGCAGGGAGGGGCTAGAGGGTCAGTGGGAGAGAAAGGGGACATAAAGGTTTAGAAGTATCAGCCCTGAGTAAAGTGAGCGCTCGGCCTAGAGGAGAGCGCCAGGCTGGCCGCCGGTCCTGACCGCGCCCACCGGCGCCAGGTGGTGCTCGGCGCTCGGGCCGTCTCCGCCTCCACGCTCAGCGCACAGCCTCCCCACCTCCTCAGCTTGTGTCTGGGGCCCACACCTTAGTGCCTACTGCTGCAGCACCTGGCCCTCCCCCTGCCTCAGTGTCCCCCGACAGCCTGTTGCCCATCCTGAGCCCTCTTCTCCAGCTGCTGGTCCTCTCTGCCCTCCCTCCTGTCTCTGGGGGCTTCTGGTCTTCCTTGGGTTGGCACCAGAGGTGCAGTGTCCCAGGCCCTCCTGCGTCCCCTCTCCTCCCCTCCCCTCCCCTCCCCTCCCCTCCCCTCTGCTGCCCTGGGACTGAGTCGCCGAGGCCTCCCTGCCAGAGCAGGCCTTGGCACGTGCTTGCTCTGCCCAGAACCCTCCCCCCATGCCACACAGCTAGCTGCTCGCCTGCTCTGGTCTTTGCCCAGGTCCCTCCCCAGAGGTCACCGGCTTAGACCGGAAACCACCATCTCCTGCATGTGCTGTCCTGTCTCTCTCTAACCAGGGCTTAAAGCTGGGGGGCAGAGAAGGAATAACACTTCAGTTAAAAGTAGACTGTTCAATATTACTTGGGCAATTCTGTCCAAAGCAGTAAGGATTGAAACCGAAGCAAACATGTTAGGATGGATGAGACATCACGTGTGTATACCGTTAAACACAAGCCAGCCGCTGGGAAGGACGCGGTGACTGAGAGGTCAGCATGGTCAGGCATGATAACTGCACCAAGCCCGGCGCTC